AAAGCATACGCTGAAATCATGAACAGAAAAGAACTTGCACATTCTAGAAACTGAAAGAAGATCAGGAGGAAGAGAAACATGAAGTGAGGTTGGAGAGGTAACTAGAGGTCACACGGTACAAAGTCTTGTGGGCCATAGTATAGAGTTCTGTTTTGATTGTAAATGTAGTGAGGTATCAATAAAGTATTTTAAGCAGAGGAATGACATTGTGAGATTTTCATTTAAAAAACACTACAAAGGACCTGGGCACAAGTAACAGTGAACATGACAAATATGGTTCCAACCTATATAGAACTTACAGAGTAGAGACAGGTGATAGAAATATTTAACTAAAATAAATTATCACAGTGATCAGTAGTCTTCTATAACAGAGACTAATAGGAGAGGAACCTTTTACATACATCTGCCCACACTTTGCCAGCTTTTTCTGTCATCTCTTCTATTGTGAATCTCATTCAGACTGAGCCCTCAAACTGTTGTTGTTGTTGTTGTTATGTGCCGTCGAGTCGGCCCCGACTCATAGCGACCCCTCCTTGGGTTTCCGAGGCAGTTATCACTATGGAAGTAGGATTGCCCAACCTTCCTTCCGAGGAGTGGCTGGTGGGTTTGAACCGCCAGCCGTCTGGTTAGCAGGCAAGTGTCTTAGCCACTATGCTACCAGAGCTCCCGAGCCCTCAAACTAGTCATACAGAAATCTATCCTTCCTCATGAGACTAGTGATAATTTAGATCTGAAGACATGAGACCAATAATTTCACTCTCTCAACTTTATCAAAAGTAGCACATTGATGTAGATCAACCTCAAAAGACTCACTAAGATTTATAAAATACATTCTTTTATATATAAATATATATTTATTTTGCATTGCAAGTCTAATTTACTTATGTAGTAGTCAAAGTATTAAGAAAAAAAGACTAAATTTTCCCAATGTTTACATAATTTATTTTAAACCCTGAAAATAAGATAGTAGAGCAGAAATACTAATATATATTATATAGAAAGAAATATATTTTATATGTATATTCACTAGTTTATAAGAAAGCAAGAACTAGGTATTATATACTATTGTATCTGCACCACATAGAAAAGTGCCTGCCATATAGTGAGCTCTGAATAATGTTTATTGAATGAATAAATTAATCTCCTAAAATGAAACCAAAGCAAACTCACTGCCGTCCAGTAGGATCCGACTCATAGCGAACCCTCCTTGGTTTTCTGAGGTGGTATCACTACAGAAGTAGATTGCTCAACCTTCCTTCCAAGGAGTGACTTGTGGGTTTGAACCACCAACCTTCTGATTAGCAGTGAAGTGCCTTAGGCACTACAACACCAGAGCTCCTGATTAATCTCCTAGTTGTTACAAATTCATTCATATTTCTTTTTTTAAAAAAATATTGCTCATTGTAAAAATAATATTTATTGTAGAAAACATGGAAATTGTGTTAGGGATACCAGGGGTAGCCAGCAAGATGGTAGATAAGGCAGAAAGACTGCAAAGACCCTCTTCAACAAAGAAAAGGGAAACCAATTAACACAGACACAGAAGATAATCCTGGACCCCTGAGCCTTGAAGG